TACTGCTACTGCTACTGCTACTGTTTCTGCTTCTGCTTCTGCTTCTGCTTCTGCTACTGCTGCTGCTGCTGCTGCTGCTGCTGCCACTACTACTACTACTACTACTACTACTACTACTAGTACCTACTACTACCTACTACTACCTACTACTACCACTGTATACTACTACTACTACTACTACTACTACTACTTCTACCTCCCACCACCACCACCACCACCACCACCTCCATTACTAAGACTGGCTATTTCAAGTGCTGCTGCTACTACTTCTACGACTACGACCACTGCTGATGCTACTACTACTACTACTACTACTACTCCTGCTGCTACTACTACTACTACTACTACTACTACCACTACAGTACTACCACTACTACTACTACTACTGCTGCTGCTGCTACTATTACTACTACTACTACTACTACTACTACTGCACTATACATCTACTGCCGCCATCACCACTACGAAAACGACGACGACTGCACTAGCGCCATTATTGCCATTGCTGTTGGTAGCCGAAACTCTGGCAACTGCTCCCGCAGGAACTGGCCTGCCGAAGTACAGGACTCGGCTGGCCTCTTCTGGGAGGCAGTCGACTGAGTATTCTCCGAGACTTTAGAAATCTGGCCGTGGTGGAGTGAAGCACAAGGGAATCATATGAGCCTGGCTGCTTGAGGGCTCCACCTGGCCATAGGCTCGCAGCCTTCGGCCCTCAGGGCCACCTCGATGTCACATGAGATCACAAGTTCAAACCGACTGCCCTCTAGCGCAGCTTTCGGATCACTGTTCAGCGGCGAGAGCCAAGCGCTGGGCAAATTAATTGGGATCCGAGCTTTCGGATATGATTTCCTGGTATGACGCCCGGAAAGGAAGCACCCCAGTGCAGCAGGGCATTGCAGGGCACTTCCCAGCAGATTGAAAAGAGAACGTTTGGGCCCACGGGGCCGCCAAGCCAAAAGCCCCGGTGCAGCGACCCATAAAGGATTGTCGCTACTTGCGCCTGTCAACAGACGTGCACTCCAAAAGGCAGTGGCAGTTATCACCTTGCCTAGAAGGATGTCATGGAGGAATGACCTCCTTGTGAGTGGCATCAGCAGCTCCTACCTAGGCCTAGGCTTGAAGTTGATTCTGAATCAAACCCCTTAGCCATGGCAGCTTCTTCATAAGACAATCTTCTGGTAGCGCAGGAGGGAGACATGCAGCAAAGTAATCTACAGCAAGCCAAACCTAAGTACTGAGTTTCTGAGAGCGTTCGGATTGAGATGTAAGTTCCTGCGAGACTCAGTAGTGGCACTGCTGTTGTTGTTTGGATGATCAAGCTGAAGGCTTGCGCTCCCCGATGGCACTCACAAGTGGCCCTTCCGGCATGTTTCTTTCTGAAGCACAAGCGTTTATGCAGCGTCGCACAGCGGAAGAGATCCGGATAAAACGTGGCCATTCAATAGGTATAGGCACTAGGCATCCGAGTTAGATGCTACTTGCCGGCGGCTACACTTGAGTCTCGTGGAAGAGAAAAGCGAGATGCTTGTGGAAGCGACTTGCCGGTGTTCCTCAGCTTTGAATTTGGTACGGAGAGCAGTAGAAACGTGATAAGCGCCTTGCAGTGGATCGAAAATCATAGAGAAGCACCGACGCGCCTCAACGCGCACATTCAAACGGACATCGGGTTGACAGACCATCAACTCCGACATGCTAGCAACAAGTGCTTCGATGAATCATGTCCCCTGGACGGGAGACTGCCAAAATCCCTGAGTCTAAAAGACCTCAGGCGGCGATCCCATGAGGTACCGCCAAAGCCTGCTTTCCAAGTGCTGTGGCGAGAAATGGCAGAGCAAGCCTCAGGTTATCTGGCATCTTGGACTATGCATGGGATTCTTGTCACCCCAGAACTCAGAACCTAGCTGGACCAATCTATGATCACCATGGGCCATGTTCCAGGGTTTCAGAATCTCACAGCTATACACAGAACTGAGACAAAACTTCAAAGCCGCATGCTGCAGGAGCGTGCAGCTGGGCTTGAGGGGACTGGTCTGCAAGCAGAGTGGGCAGATTCGATGGCAAATAACACGGCATTGAAGGTGTCTGAGCCGGGACCTGACAATCGTTGCAGGGATCTGGGGTTTTGGGCTTCGCCCGGCTGTCTAGGGTCTAGCCGTGATGATCGTCTATCCTTGCCAGTAAGACCGCTTTCAGTGCTAGGTCACAGCAAGCAAAGAGCCGCCATGCCACACCGTTGCGGAACTATCGCCAGTGCAACAGCCTTGATATTAGACCTTGCATCGCCATTGCTTACTCAAGTGGTGTGGTCATGAGGATATCTTGCAGGGTGAGCCTGTACGGTCTTCTTGCATTCCCTGGAGCACAATTTCCTGATTCATGCAATGCTTTCGTGAGTTTCACTGTATTCGCGTCGTTTCCGGGCCTCGACGCGTTCATGTTGCTCTGTCGATGATGCTTCAAGTGTCTGAATTTTGCTAGAGGTTCAAGCTTGTGAGGTCTTGCGTGCTTGCTCCATCGTGTATCTTATCCGATATTGCATTGCTGATGTAAGCATATATATGGGTACAACACGCGCAAACTGGCGTTGTACGACTCATCCCACTAAAACCCGGATAAAGTCTTGCCGGGAAATACGAGTATTTGCAGAGAGCTGGAAGAAGTTTCATACTGTCCCAGCACCCGGCCTCCGAACCTCTCGTCCGCTCACAGCCTTGGACACAGATAGGAGTCTTTTGAACATTGTAAAGTCCATGAGCTAGGATGTAGGCATCCGCCAGTTGAATCAGAGCTGTGGAATGTTGCGGCCCAAGGCTTTCAAAGTCGCCTACTGTGAGCCGAGATACACACATATGCATGTACATATGATGCAGGTTTGTGAGAGAGAAAGAGATATAGAGAGAGAGAGAGAGAGACAGGGAGAGCGAGAGAGAGAGGGAGGCAGAGAGAGAGGGAGGCAAAGAGAGAGCGAGAGAGTGAGAGTGAGAGAGAGA